TTAAAGGGCTACATGCAGTGCTGACTTTCAGCACTGCATGCAGCTCATCAAAAAGTCTGGGGCCACTTAAAATGGCCCCAACTGACAGAGGGGACCCCCAGGTTTCTAATGATAATGATTTAACCCTGCTCACACTAGATTGCTGTCTATGGGGATTTAAATCCCCATTAAAAGAGCTGCTTGCCGACCTCACTTTGAGCTCTGCATGCAGCTCATCAAAAAGCCTGGGGCCACTAAAAATGACCCCAACTGACAGAGAGAAGCCCCTAGGTTTCCTAGTTTGAGCAGGGATTTAACCCTGCTCACACTGCATTGCTGTCTAAGGGGAATGTAATCCCCATTTAAACAGCTGCATGCCGATCTCACTTTGAGCTCAGCATGCAGCTCAGCTGTCTGTCTGGGACCAGTAAAAATGGCCCCAGCTGACAGAGGGGACCCCCAGGTTTCTAAAGATACCTGGGTTTCCTAGTGTGAGCAGGGATTTAACCCTGCTCACACTGCATTGTGCTCTATGAGGATTTAAATCCCCATTTAAACAGATGCATGCCGATATTACTTTGAGCTCTGCATGCAGCACAGCTGTCAGTCTGGGACATTAAAAATGACTCCAGCTATATCAGGTAAAGCTGCGTTTTAGATGTAGCTCCATTTAATACTAAAATTTTAGGATTTGTGCCATAAGAGGCCTGCGCACCCCATTTGTGCCATAAGAGGCCTGCTTTTGTCCTTCTCCTAAGGAGGCGTAATTTGTACCTCAACTCTGCTAACTGCTAAGATAGAAAGGTTACATAATGCTTTGGAAATGTGCGGATTGCAGATCTAATTTCATCTTCCTTGAGGGGGGGGCGTCTAATGATTGAGCTTGTTGGGCAGTGAGCAATGGAAGATGCACGTCATTCAGGAAATTTTCTATTTCAAGTTTGTTTGGTGTACACGTCTCGTGATCATCTTTTAAATTATATAGGTGTTTATAAAATTGTGCCAATTCTTCTACTATGTGATGGGGGTTGAACAGTTTATCCCCGGTTATAGATTGAATGTAGGGTATTTTGGTCTGGAGATATTTAGATTTGAGTTTTTTGACTAGAAGTTTCCCAGTGCCAATCGGGTATTGTCCCCCACCTACCGGTTCGGGACAAACCCTGCTTGTTCAGCCGAGACTAGCTGTGGGAGTAATGGTTTAATTCGGGATGCAAGTTTGGCATATAGCTTAAGGTCTGCATTGAGCAGCGATATAGGGCGTAGGTTGGCGCATAAGGTAGGGGGCTTGTTTGGTTTTGGTAAAGTTACTACATGTGCCTCTAACATCTCTGGAGGTATAGTATAGTGCCGCGCAGCCTAATATCATTAAAAAGTCTGAAATGTGAAATGTGGAGTTAGTATGTTAATGAACTTAATATAATAATAGTTAGACAGGCCATCTGGCCCTGGTGCCTAATGCTTTGGAAGTGTGCGGATTGCAGATCTAATTTCATCTTCCTTGAATGGGGCGTCTAATAATTGAGCTTGTTGGGCAGTGAGTGATGGAAGATGCACGTCATTCAGGAAATTTTCTATTTCAAGTTTGTTTGGTGTATACGTCTCGTGATCATCTTTTAAATTATATAGGTGTTTATAAAATTGTGCCAATTCTTCTACTATGTGATGGGGGTTGAACAGTTTATCCCCAGTTATAGATTGAATGTAGGGTATTTTGGTCTGGAGATATTTAGATTTGAGTTTTTTGACTAGAAGTTTCTCTGCTTTATTACCCATCGCATAGTGTATCTGCTTAAGAGATCTCAAATGTTGTTCTGTGGTTATAAGAGACAATGAGTTGAGTTCATTGTTAATGGCGGCTATTTGTTTGGAGATATTTTTCGATGGTCGTTGTTTATTTTGGTCATCTAATTTGGCTAAGTCTTGGAGGAGTCGTGTCTGGTTCTCTGCGTTGCGTCTTTTTGTTATTGATCCTAGTTGTATCAAAGCTCCCCGTAAAACCGCTGTAGCGGAGAGCTGGTATTACACAGCCTATCTCCACTTTAGATCCCAGGGAGGTTCAGGAACAAGCAATTATAAATCCATAGGGCAAAGTATCCAGCAGGCAAAATAACAGCAGTATCCCAACAGCAATCCCAATAACTGGACGATACACAGTTTCAGGAGCAGAACTAAAGCTTTATTCAGACAGTGGCCTTTTAAAGCCTGCTCCCATGCAAGGGAGGGATTTTCATTCATTAGTACAGTAGCCAATCCTGCTCTGGTAACCTCCCACACATCTCCTCCCCTCAGCCTGCATCATAATCCCTTATCCAGCACACCAATTCCCCCCGTTTCTGGATGTACCCCTAAACTTAGGGGTACCACTTTAAATCATACATCCCCTGGTAGCCCTGATCTGGGTGAACAACATATCCAAAAATCACCCAGATCAGACCAGGGGTTCGGGAAATTTATGGAGGGAATAAAATGACCGACCGCACTGGGTGCGGTCAGTCCTGGAGTCAGGGAATAAACGAACTACAGCGGCTAGGGAGGGTTCGCTTGAATCCCCTCGTTCGGTTCTTTCTATCTACCGAACGAGGGGCCGTTCGGTAGTTGGGAAATGAACGGACCGGGCTTGTGGAGGTTTCAGCGGTGTTCGCCTAGTCGAGTGTCCGATTTGAGTTCCAGACACTCGACGGCAAAACACCGCTGTTCGGGAGGTTTAAAATGGCCGCCGCCACGTGCACGTTTTTCGAATGGCGGCCACCCCCGAGAACAAAGGACGGCTACTTAGCTTGTCAATTACCCGTTTGCAACAATGTTGCAACGGGTAATTGAAGACACACTTCACACAGGGGAGGTCTGACTGTTCAGTAGTTTCATTCGAACAAACTAAGGGAATGAAACTACCTAACATTCAGATGAATACAATACATTAAATACATAGAACTTTGCTGTTTTCATACGAATGCATTAACATACATGAAATTCTCAGGACAGCCCAGTGCCATCCGCTACAACCGCTTTATGAAATCCCCACGCACAATGAGGTGGCCTTTACGAAGCTTCATTATTTTCTTAACAGCGGTATGCAAGAATGAGCGTTGGGCATCATTGGGTGCATATAAACATGCCATAGTAAGTTGAATACCATTTAAGGTGCCAACCAGGATCAGAAGCCTACCTTTTTGGTCATCGTATTTATGTTCAATATCATAGACCCAGTCAGAGTGTATGTAAATAGCCACCACTCTAGATTTATGGGGCGAGTAAGCATGGTACACCATTGGGTATTTGCGGGAAATCTAGCGGAGGGGGGTTTCGTTTACAAAAATGTGTCTCTTGTAGGCAAATTATTGCCGCACCAGACCTATGCATATCCCGGATTACCAAGCGCCGTTTATGGGGGTGGTTCAGCCCTTTTACATTGTAGGTGATGATTTTAAGTTGGTCCTTCATTGGGACTCAATATATGGTGTATCTAATGTGCGAGACATGCCCACACAGCGTATATATCCTGGTCGTAATGGGGTCCCTTCCTAAACCTTGCTGGGTACGGAAGGAGCTGAGAAGTGAGGGGAGTTCCCCATCTAGCATATTTAGGTGCCAATTACTTGTCAAGGGTCTGCTTTTTAACATGCATTGCTTTTTAAAGGAGCCTGGAGTGAAGCATAGGGTCAGAAACACAGGAAAGAGGGGGGTTTGACAAAAGAAAAAAGCTGAACAAAAATATATACACCTTGCTCTTATCTCTAAGAGTCAACAACTTAGCTGAGTCGTGGACGGGTGAGGCCAAAGCCCGCTCTCGATCGTACAGCCATGAGGGGGAAGTAGAAGCTCTTGTCATTAAGAGCCAACAGTGAGGTTGTTATCGAATCGGTAAGGCCAACACCAATTCTTAATTACTCAGCCTTATTGGGAAAACTTAATGCCCCCATTCAGAGCCCCAAAAAATAAATAAATGAAGAAATAAAATAAATTTTCTTAAGCTGAAAATTACCAACATTATAATAGTTCGTATAGCCTAAACCAGTTAGAGTTATTGTGAAATCAAAAATATGTAATAGGATGTATTACCCATGCTTCTAGTTAACCTTTTTTTTTTCTCTCTTATTTTCATAATGCATTCAACCTTTAACAGTAATATAAGCTTTGGAAAAAAAAAGAAAAAAAAAAAAAACAGCAAAAATTAAAAAAAATAGAATTCGCAGCAGGTAGAGAACTAAAGAGGTTGAGGGTTAGGTTAAGAGTAAATGGCAAGTACTTTGCATGTTATACTCATATTGCTCAACAAATCGAATCAAATAAATAAATAAAAAACTATTAAATCAAATCAAATCGAATCAGATTAAATCGAAACCAAACAAAAACAGAAAGAGTGAGAGGAAAAAACGAAGAAAAGGGGGCGTGGCTGACCACCGAGCAAGATGGCCGCTTAAGGACTTGCTCCGGCATCGAGCTCTCACAATCTAGTGTTAAAAGGCAATACCAACCGAGACAAGACGAATCCAGCGGGGATGTCCCACCATAGAACAAAGAAGTCAGCCCTAAAAACTGACAAAATCAATTTTTTCGGCCACAAAAGCCAATCTTCGCAAGCAGCCTCGCCACGGGACGCCCAAGATGGCGACGGAGACTCGGATACAAGCCTCCCCGCGGCAGAGCACGCTCAGGCCGACCACATCACGAAAACTTTCTTAGCTCAAGCCCTGGACTCATTGTCTAACAAACTAATATCCTCCTGGCAACAAACAGCCGACACCTTGAAAAAAGAAATACAGGAGATGGGAACCCGTACAGCACAAATTGAGGAGAAAATGGGGGACTTTGCTTCCGCCCATAACAACATGGCAGACCACGTCCAGCACCTGGAGGAGAAGGTTGAAAAGCTGGAAGCACAGATGGCTGATGCTGAAGATAGTTCGCGGAGGAACAACATTAGGCTCCGAGGGGTACCGGAATCAATTCAACAGGCGGACCTCCAAGCCTACGCACGAGGCCTGCTAAGGGCCTACGCACCAGACATCCCGGCAGACATGATGTTAATTGACCGCATCCACCGCATCCCCAAACCGACTTACCTACCAGACTCCACACCGCGAGATGTGCTGTTCCGGACCCACTTCTTCCACATTAAGGAATTGGTCCTCAAGGTGAGCCGCACGCGGGAGCAACCGCTCGAAGACTACCCAGGGGTAAAACTCTTCAATGATTTATCTGCAGCAACGTTAAAGAAAAGAAGAACATATCATCAGGTAGCAGAAGCTCTACGGCAACACGGAACCAAGTACCGCTGGGGCTACCCGACCAAAATGCTGGTCCAACATGGTGGAACACTCAGACCCATTTCCACGCCGGAGGAGGGCATCAAGCTCCTAAAAGAATGGAACATACCCATCCCGCCGACTGAGCCACATAAGCACCCGATCAGGAAGACCGCACAAGAATGGAGAAAAGTTCGCAAGAGACTTACCTAAACTGGGACTACAGAGCGCAAGTATTAACCACACCAGCATTACACTACACTTATATGTTCACTCACTCACACATCCACGAACACACGAACTGAGCACAACACGGAGCGGATGACCCAGTCAATGGGCCGCGAAGCACAGTCAGCCCACCCTGATATATACGAGGACTAACTCAGAGACTAAAAACAGAAGGACTGGTTCCAACTCACAATGTTCTACAACATAACTCTTTTACTTTATTTTTTTCTCTTTTTACTGGTTTTATAGCCACAAGCATCCGCACTGGGATGCGTATGTAAACGGGCGCCCCCGGGCAACTAAGTCTGGTGTACATTAGGGACTAGCGAGTATACCTCTTAATGAGAATGAATGAGCCAATATGCTTATAAATGTATAGCCTGGGTTGTGGAAAATGGCGGGTGCGGGCGATCCCACCCCCGGGGGGGTTTGGCGGATCGACTTGGGACTACCTCCCGGCGCAACCTAGGGGTGGCACCTACACACACAACGGCCCATCACGCCTACTACAGAGGCAATGGAGGGAGAATACATAGGACTTGGGGCGGGACAGCGAGCCTGATAGGCCACACCCGACAACGATAGACGCGCTGACTCTCTGAGAGGGGTATATGGCGATGGTGGCGACCTGCCGCCGGGGCTAACCACGGGGGCCACTCCACCAAATGGCTGACGAAGCAGGCTGGCATGGCCCGCGTGCGCCACAAGGGCTGGGCTGCGCGTGCGTGACATGGGCCGGGCAGAGGCTATAGCACCCACCTATGGACAGACAGGAGGGGTGTTGCTGGAGACTGAGCCCCCGGGGGTCCTTGCGGTGGGGTACCGACACAGACTCCAATGCCGGGGTCGAGCAATGCACCCTTATCGTGGGCATGCCAGACATAAATAGGGAATTGTTCACCAGTGTATTTAAAGGGACCCTAACCAGCCACGCCTTTACACTACACCACATTTGCTAAACAGAGCTCAACAGCCACTTATGGGAGATCTAAACAACTCCTGCCCTCGAGGTGTGGACTATCCACACCAAACCCTCCTTGGAGGGAACCTTGTTTTACCCATCCAAGTTTCTTTACCCTGGTTTCAACTCAACCCCTACACCCACCCTCAGGAGAGAAGGGTACCAGGTAAACCATACACCCAAACAGCAATCACTCCCCACCCCCTGCAAGACAGGGCGTACGCACACGAATCGCGGAGATTCTCGGAGCAGCAATCCAACCTAAACCGATGTCTATAACAATAAGAACCCACAATACTCGAGGGTTAAACCACCCACATAAACGCCACACTCTCTTAGAAGCGGCAAAACAAGACAACATAGACATTTTATGCGTCCAAGAAACGCACTTCGTGACAAACAAAGTCCCTAAGTTTGGACTTCAAGATTACCCAACCCAGTTCCACTCCACACACTCCTCTAAATCCAAGGGAGTGTCGCTCCTAATACACAACTCACTAACGTTTGAACTACTGCGACTCAACAAAGATACACAAGGGAGCTAAATAATACTGCACTGAATGATCAACGACACTGAATACACACTGGCAGGCATATACAGTCCAAACACAAACCAAAGACAATTTCTGCAAAAAATCTTGAACAAACTCCCGAATCCGCTACCCGGGGCTACGATTATCTGCGGCGACCTAAACCATGTATTGGACTCCCGTATGGACACAACACTCCCTGGCCTCTCCCCACGACACGCTACGACAGACACGCAAAGCAAAACCATACTCAAGCTGATGATAGAAAACGACCTATACGATGCATGGCGCACATTACACGCCACTGACAAAGAGTTCACGTATTTCTCACAAGTCCATAAATCATTTTCCAGAATAGACCATATACTGATCTCGGGAACGCTAATACCTAGCACTACCCAGTGTGACATTGGCGACATAGTGTGGTCTGACCACGCGCCGATCACGATTACGCTGAAAGGCACTTTTCCCCACAGGAGCCGGGCGCCCTGGCACCTAAACAACTCCCTATTGCATGACACCACCTTCCTCGCACAGATGACACAAAACCTAGAACAATACTTTCAGACCAACTACACCCCAGACGTTTCACCCACCTCATTATGGCAGGCACATAAACCAACCATAAGAGGGATATTAATCAGCAGAGCCTCACACATCAAACGAACATCCAACCAAGAATATCTGACCCTGCTACGCACACTCAGGGACGCCACAGCCGCGCACACGACATGCCCAGATGCGACCCGGCTCACGACGATGGAGACCGCTACACGCCGCCTAAACGACATTCTCCTAGCTAAAACATCATACGCTATGCAACGCCTGAAGGTGAGACAATACTCCCAAGGCAATAGAGCAGGGAGAGCTATGGCAGCATTGCTACGAAAAAAGCAAGCCCAATCCAAAATCCCCTATCTAATTTCCAATGAAGGGACAAAAATCTACAACCCCCAAGACATTAACGATGAGATGGCCAACTTTTATCACAACTTATATAATTTTTCCTCCACGCACTTCTACAGAAATTTGGATTTCCCCCACGATTCACTGCACTGATACACGCACTGTATTCCTGCCCCTCAGCTAGGGTAGTGAATGGGGGCTTCTCCTCCAACAGCTGCAACATATCCAATGGCTCCCGCCAAGGCTGTCCCCTGTCTCCGATATTGTACATACCCCTCACACAACTAATTAGAAGTGACCCTCAAATACAGGGTATCCGAGTAAAAAGCAAAGAATACAAGCTCACACTATTTGCGGACGACATCCTCCTCACACTGCAAAATCCACAGGTCTCACTGGCCGCTCTACACAGGCTGATACACCAATATGGGAAATGCTCATACTACAAATTAAATATATCTAAAACACAGGCAATGGGAATTAACATCCCACAGATGGAGCTGACAGATCTCTAACAAAGGTTCGCATACGAATGGTGTACGGACCACCTCAAGTTTCTAGGAATAACCTTGACAAAGTCCCTAGCAGGTATCCACAAAGCAAACTACACGCCACTTCTCACAGAGCTCAAAACCCTCATACATAGTTGGAAAGGGAAATTTATCTCATGGGTAGGCAGGATAGCAGCAGCAAAAATGCTACTCCTCCCGAGAATACAATACCTATTTAGAACTATCCACCTAGTAGTACCCAACAGCTATTTACGCGAACTACAGAAACTGATTAACTCATTCATATGGAATAACGCCAGACCCAGAATCGCGAAAGCCACCCTATATAAACCATTCTCGCTAGGAGGCATGAGTCTACCAAACATAACAAACTACTACAAAGCGGCCATTCTAAGCCAAGTGCTAAACACTAGCGGCAACGCCAAACCCCCGCAATGGGTGCAGCTGGAAGCGTTCTATACCAACAACTTCACCATCTCGGCCCTAGCCTGGATGTCTAGGAAATTAAGACCAAAACACAAGGACATGCTCCCCACCACAAAACTCACACTACAAATATGGGACCAGTTTGGGGACAAGTATATAACAAAAGGGGGCACCTCCTTGGCAACGCCCATAGAAACACTAGCCCTGCTTATACCAGGATTTAACTCCAAACTGTGGCAAACCCACAACATCACACACCTCTTCCACCTGTGCCAGGGCTTAGCACTGAACTCATTTGCTGAGGTCCAAACACAATATGGGGTACCCAAAACAGCCCTTTTCACGTATATGCAACTTATGTCTTGGTTTAAATCGCAAAAAATATGCTCGTACAATACTGTAAATGGTCTTCAGCTGACGGAGGTGGAAAAAATCAGCCTTAACTTACAACCGCGCAAGAAACTAATATCCCTGGTCTATGCAATATACAGCACCACAGCAGCAATCCCAGTCCATACATTCACAAAAGCATGGGATCGAGAAATACCGAACCACATAACGGAGAGCCAATGGGCCCACATCTTCCGGGCACATAAGAACCTCTCACTGTGTGCCTCCCATATGGAAATCACACAGAAAATTTTGTACAGATGGTACATGGTACCAGTGCGCCTTAAGAAAGGCAATCCAAACATACCAGATACATGCTGGCGCTGCCTAAGCGACAAGGGATCTATGCTACATATCTGGTGGTCGTGCCCGAAATTGAAGCAATTCTGGCTAGACATCACAACCACGATAAGGGAGACCACGGGGATCAACCTCCAGCAATCCCCCGAAACATACTTATTACAATTATTTCCAAAAGGCCTATGTAGAACCCACACATATCTCATATATCATATCATAGTAGCAGCTCTCCAAACTATTAGTAGACATTGGCGCGACCCAAACCCACCGAAAATGGCTCAATGCACAACAGCATTACAGCTAACAAAACAATACGAACTAATGGCGCGGAGCTGGGAGCTATGGGAGCAGCACATAGCAATTACGTAGAGATGGGGCCAATACAGATTCACTCTTTAAGTACGAGACACATAAACCACTCCGACAGCTGAGACCATGCAAATGGGGAAAACCTGTTCAATAGACCACGTAATAAGAAACGTATGCACCCATGCAATGTACCTAAGAAAGGTATCAGGATACTGCACATGCACAGAGCAACTATATAAGGTAACTGCAATTATACAGGAAATTAAATGACCTCTAGAGAACACTACCGCTTCTCCTGGACCCCCCCCCTCCCCTCCCCCCTCTACCCCTATGTTACACCCCACCTTGGTTATACTGTTAAACAATCAACAAGTTAGCAAGGAATGAGACAAGCATTATGTAACAGGACCGAATATGATGTATACCGATGTCTGTAATTAATCCCTGTTGTACTCCACATGTGTCAATTTGTCGATATGACAAAATGCAAAAAAAAAAAAAAAAACGAAGAAAAGAAACACCCCATTTTATGTAATCTCTAAGTAGAGTTGACACATACAGTAATTGCTGTCTCTCTTTTCTCACCTTCTGTTTCCTTTTGCTTTGCCTTTTTTTCCCCACAGTAGGGTGCATTTCCCTTTGTACCTTCCTCCCGTTCCTCTCTTTCCCTTCTTTTTCCCCTTTTTCTCTAACTCCTTTCTCCTTTTCCCTTTCCTTTTCCTTTTCTTTTCCCCCTTATCCTTTTTTTCCCCTCACCTCTTTCCTCTTTTTCCCAATTAACCTCTAATGTCTCAATTCACCTGCATAGGAAATTTAGGTATAGGGGTCGATATACTTATTACTAGAAGGAGAGAAGGAAAAAAAAAATAGACATAAAATTTCTGAGTCTGGTATAGGGATTTAAACAGATATCATTGAGCTAATATCCCTTCAGCCATTTACTTCATAGAGTTTGTAATACTAAACAAAGCAACAGTGTTGCAGTATAATGTCCAGTGATCGACATTTATTGCATAGAGTTAGATACTGAACTGAGCAACAATGTTTCAATATAGTGTTCAGTTCTCAGAAGTAGACGGATACTCTAAATCGTGCTACTGCTAACTCATACGCTATGGAATATTTGTCTCACCTTAAACAAAGCTACTGCATTGCAATAGAGCTGGATATGTATCTAACCCAAGCAAAGGATTTTACACACTTTGAGGAAGTAATTAATCCGTGCCTTCAAGGGCATCTGGACTGCAAAAATTAGCCAAAGTTAACTGTTAACTGTCTGAATTCAGTTAGGCTGAAATAATATAGCTCTTAACAAAATATAATAAACTGTTATAATCAAAGTGTATATTCTTATTGCGTCAGAACTATTCCAGTGTTGGTGCTAGTGTCAGACAGGAGCTTAATGTTTGCTAATGCCATTACAAGAGAAAAAAATAAATAATAATAATAATATATATATATATATATATATATATATATACACACACACACACACACACACACACACTCTTTATATAGGCATGAACAAAATAAATAAAATCATTGATCTATGACTCGTAAATACACAATACATCTAACTATCTATACCCTGTGTGTGCCAATACTGCAAGGAACTGCATCACTTGTAGCTGTTTGAATAAGGTGAAAGAGGATTCTACCGGTCACCTTGTAATCCAAAATTAACACTAATAGAACAAACCAGAGCTGTGAGCTAGGATAGATACATCAAGCGACCCGAGAGTGAGCCCACAGCAATTATTATGACATGTAGCAGACAATCAATTACTTGCTGTGCAGTTAGACTCCAAAACATAAAAATAAAAAGTAAAAAAATGAGAATTGATAAGACTTACATTGCTCATGTAATTTATCGTTAGAAAGAGATCAAACTCATTTAGCAACCACCTTAATTACCTTATTGATCTCCTTAATGCAGTATAATGCACAATACTAATAGAGAAGAGAAAAAAAAACCAACCAAAATAAGTAAGAAAACATTAATCAAAGGATATACAGGTTTTCCTTTGAGACAAATAAAAAAATAAAAAAAATGGTCTAAGTTCAGGAAGACTATTTTGATTTCTTTGAAGAAGCCAACATCCACTCCTTCTGGATCTTCTTAGGAGAAGCTGGGACTTGCTGTATATGATCTTCCGGTTTCATAAGCCCCAAGGTCATGAGTGTTTCATTTCCTTTACATGGTTCCATTATTGCTTGCATTTTACCCTCTCGCCAGATCAAGAGTTTTGTGGGGTACCCCCAGCGATGTATTACCTTATGATCACGCAGGACTTTTGTTATACCTGCAAATTCGCGTCTTCTGGCTACTGTGGCAGCCGATAGATCAGCAAATAGGTAATCTCCTGGTAAGGGGAAGGGAGAGGATTCTGTTTCCTGGCTCCTTCAAGCAATTAATTATTATAATGAAAGTAGTGGAAGCAGAAAATCACCTCTCTGGGTGTATCAGCTGGGAGTCTTTGCGGGCGAGGAAGGCGATGTATCGGTTGAAAGTCCAAGCCCCAGCTTCCATAGTCGGCAGAATTGTAGAGCAAAGTTCATTGATATAAGCAGGTAAGGCTTCTTGATTAATATTATCTGCAATGCCCCTAAATCTCACATTGTTCCTTCTTGACCTATCTTCCAAATCAGCAGGTTTGAGTTTCATATTAAGGTTTTCCTCCATTAGTTGTTTGATCTTGTTTAGCACCTCATTATGGGCTGTACAGAGACCCTCAGTGAAATCTTCCAACTGACTGGTCCTGTTTCCTAATTCAGAGACTTCTTTGGGTAAGTCAGAGGAAATTTGTTTGAAATCTTTCTGTAAGGTGACTCTTAAACTCTGGAGCATAGTATGCAGGGTTTTCTCTGTCACCAAATTATCAGAGTACACCACTTCGGCGGTCTCCTGATCTGAGAGGTCTTCTGAAGTGGGGGCTCCCAAGTCACTACCTTCTATAGGCTGCTTTTGGCGCTCTCTCCTCGATGGTGGCATCACGTACTGCACTAATTCTTGTTGTAGTGCTATAATATGAAAGACTTTAGAAGTTTTAGTCAGTAAAGAAACTTTTTTTTTTTTAGTCAGTGAAAGCTATAATGAACTCTATTTTTTGGGGAGGCTCTGGGCTCGGAGAGCTCACGCCATGCGTCTGCTCACGTCAAACGCCAGCATCTAGTATACCTACTACATGCACAATGACCACATACTGTAAAGTAATAACACCAGGGCCAGATTAAGAGCCCAGTGGGCCTGGTGCTGACAATTATGACGGGCCTAATTACAGAATCATATCGACCAAAAACAGTAAAACACTCCCAAGCATCATGTATCTGATGGAGATGGTGCTGGAGAGAAAGAAAACAGCAGCTATAAGAAAACACATACCCTAGGCTAATCTCTCACTAATTTATGTTTTCATCTTTCAAGTAAATCCATAATCCCTAACAGCAGTGTCCAGTCAAGCAGGAAGTCAATGGGCATGGTAAAAGGGTGTGCCACTGACACAAATCACGTAACCTGCCAAAAGGGGCGAACATGCCCAAAAAGAGGATATGTCTGCCCAAAGAATTAGAAGGCCAGCCTGGTGTGAATGCATATCAGGCTGCCTGCCAATCATGCAGCTGGCCAACTAAGCGCATACTATGCAGACAGCAACCTGAGCTTGGCATAAATGCGTCTAATGATGCGCTCACTCAATGCTTTCTAAGGACTGTCCACTAGCACTCGCTGGTCCACTTGTCTCCTTACCTTCTTACTAGCAGCCAGAAGCTCCTGGTATATGGTCTGGCACAGAGAAACGCTGTATGTAGTGAGTGTAGAAGAAAGGGGACATGCCGCAGTGTTAGAGAGACCAAAGTCAGCATTACCTTAAAGGATCACTATAGCGTCAGGAACACAAACATGAATTCATGACCCTATAGTGTTAACTCCACCATCTAGCCCCCCTGGGTCCCTCATGCCTCCATAAATATAGCAAAATCTTACTGCATTCAAGCCTGAAGCTGTAACTCTGCATGCTGTTAGACTCAGAAAAACAAGCAGTCTATTGACATTGTAACGGATCGCCTGGCACCCCGACTGGGTACCTCCGTTGAAGGATGCTCCTAGCGCTTCCTGAGGATTCCAAGCACTGCAGCAGACACCACAACCACCGAACCGGAGAAGCATATGAATCCTCTCAAGCATATGAATGCTGTAGACAGTTGAATAGGAACCATACGAATAGGTTTACTCTCCTAGCAGTCAAACTGGAACAGCATACAATAAATCCTTCCCCCAATAATGAGACGACACTTCACTTTGAGGGTTAAAACAGGAACTCCCTGTACTGTCACATACAGTCTCTTTTATTCCCAATCCACAAACATAGTACAGCCCACAGGGCGTTACAAAACAACCAATCACCTCACAGTTACATCCCACATATTCCCTCCCCTTATCCTGAGAGGAAACTCAATTATACATACAGTTAAAACATACTTTCTACCCAACTTTCATAACTCCAAAACCATACATCACATTCACATAAAATTACATATTCACAATCAATCCATTCAGGGGAACAACATATTCAAAAATGGCACAAATCAGACAAGGGGTTCAAAAGTTAGTAAAAAGTCCTTTGTGACTAAATGAAGCATGGCTTTCTGGCCCAAACCAGTTTCAGAGTCTTCTATCCTGGAGATAAGTAATTCAATTATCTCCCAGGATAGACACAAGACTCCATTAAGCACATGGTTGCAAAAAGACACAAAACACTTTAAAATACATAAAGTCACATTTACACATAACACACAGACATTTCACATATCCCCAGATAGCTGGGATCTGAGTGCACATTATTAGATGAATGGCACTCAGATCACACAAATAAGCCTTTCTGCAGGGGAAATAAACAGTTTAACCTGCAGGGCCATAGTCCAAAGGGAGCAGGCGAGCAACCAGGCTTCTCCAGTTCACAGTGGCGAGGTTGGTTTCGCCACACTTCTCCCCTTTACCAACTAGACTAACAGGGTATCTGACCTCCTGCCGGTCAGTGCCCTGGTTAGTCCAGCAACCCACCCACAAAACAGAAACAGCAGTACAGCCCACCCACAATAACTGGTTACTACACCTGGGTAGAGGAGAACTTTGTCCATGTCCAGGTGCCTCACCACGACTGTGTGGGCAACTGTTAGGCTGCCTTGGTGGGTTGCTGAGTGGGCAGAGACCAGCGGTACTCTGCCCTGATGCCAGTGCTACCACGGAAGTAGCCTGGTGGGAGCCTGGTTGTGGGAGGGAGAGACCGACTGTCTCCCCTCTGGATACACCGCTCTGTGGCTGGGGAACAGGACCGACTGTCCCTACTCCTTGTGCTGTAAGTGCAGAGACATCTGCACTGTTGGGGGGTGTAACATCTCCCCTTGCTGGGTTAGGCTGCCGCTGGAGAGAGGGTGTAACAAGCTCCTCTCTCTGAACTGTAAACTGCCGCTGGGGAGAGGGGGTATCAGGCTCCTCTCCCTGACACTCTCTCTGCTGGTGGAGAGGGGGACCAGCTGTCTCCCCTTTCATTATTTTGTCCTGTGGTTGGGGTGCGAGACTGACGGTCTCTGCTCCCTGCAGGACACTCTGCCGCTGGGGAGGAAGGACTGCACCTTCAGCTCCCAGTAACACACACTGCCCCTGGGGAGCAAGGACTGCACCTTCAGCTCCCTGGGGTACACACTGCCGCTGGGGAGGAAGGACTGCACCTTCAGCTCCCTGTAACACACACTGCCGCTGGGGAGCAAGGACGGCACCTTCAGCTCCCTGTAACTCACACTGCCGCTGGGCAGAGAGACCAATTGGCCACAGCCCCAATCTCCGCAATCGGCACTCACATTCCCATGCCGCTCGATTCTCCGCATCCAACTTGCGCACGGTTGCCATAACTGCCTCTGTTGAAGGATTCGGGCCATATCTGGTTAACCGTCTCATGACCTCATCCCGGTATGCATCGCCCTCAAAGCGATAGGTCATGTTTGCTGTGACCAGAGGCGCTGTACGAATACTAGCGTTGCCCTCAAATTGTAACTCCAAACGAACTGTGTCTCTGAGCTGCTTTACCTCGCACTAGGACGCCATCCCACCGCTTGCCACCAATGTAACGGATCGCCTGGCACCCCGACTGGGTACCTCCGTTAAGGATGCTCCTAGCGCTTCCTGAGGACTCCAAGCACTGCAGCAGACACCACAACCACCGAACCGGAGAAACAAATAAATTCTCTCAAGCATATGAATGCTGTAGACAGTTGAATAGGAACCATACGAATAGGTTTACTCTCCTAGCAGTCAAACTGGAACAGCATACAATAAATCCTTCCCCAATAATGAGACGACACTTCACTTTGAGGGTTAAAACAGGAACTCCCTGTACTGTCACATACAGTCTCTTTATTCTTAATCCTGGCATAGTACAGCCCACAGGGCGTTACAAAACTCCAATCACATCACAGTTACATCCCACATATTCCCTCCCCTTATCCTGAGGAGGAAACTCAATTATACATACAGTTAAAACATACTTTCTACCCAACTTTCATAACTCCAAAACCATACATCACATTCACATAAAATTACATATTCACAATCAATCCATTCAGGGGAACAACATATTCAAAAATGGCACAAATCAGACAAGGGGTTCAAAAGTTAGTAAAAAGTCCTTTGTGACTAAATGAAGCATGGCTTTCTGGCCCAAACCAGTTTCAGAGTCTTCTATCCTGGAGATAAGTAATTCAATTATCTCCCAGGACAGACACAAGACTCCATTAAGCACATGGTTGCAAAAGACACAAAACACTTTAAAATACATAAAGTCACATTTACACATAACACACAGACATTTCACATATCCCCAGATAGCTGGGATCTGAGTGCACATTATTAGATGAATGGCACTTAGATCACCCAAATAAGCCTTTCTGCAGGGGAAATAAACGGTTTAACCTGCAGGGCCATAGTCCAAAGGGAGCAGGCGAGCAACCAGGCTTCTCCAGTTCACAGTGGCGAGGTTGGTTTCGCCACAGACATCATTAGAAGTGGTGGCCTAATCCAATCACAGTGCTTCCCTATAGGATTGGCTGAGACTGACAAAGAGGCAGATCAGGGGCAGAGCCAGCATGATTCAAACACAGCCCTGGCCAATCAGCATCTCCTCATAGAGATGAATTGAATCAATGAATCTCTGAGGAAAGTTCAGTGTCTGCATGCAGCGGGAGGAGATACTGAATGTTTAGATGCATTTTAGGCAGCCTTGACCCAAGAAGGATCTCTAACAGCCATCTATTGGCCTGTGAAATTATCACTAGGCTTAATGTAAAGACTGCATTTTCTCTGAAAAGACAGTGTTTACAGCAAAAAGCCTGACGGTAATGATTCTACTCACCAGAACAAATTCAATAAGCTGTAGTTGTTCTGGTGACTCTAGTGTCCTTTTAACTATATTCATTGTCAGCCAGTCCACACAAGTTTTGTTACCATACATCCCTCTTAAGTTTCCATTCTTAAGTAAGAGTATGTGAAAAGTAGTTAGGGTTGCCACCTTTCTTGGAAAAACATACCGGCCTTACTAATTTGCATAATTAAATATGTATGGGTGACATCGCATGAGTGACATAAGAGAAAATGCTGTAAAATCACCACAAAACGACTTAGTTTGGTTTTGCTGTCTACAGGGAGTGCAGAATTATTAGGCAAGTTGTATTTTTGAGGATTAATTTTATTATTGAACAACAACCATGTTCTCAATGAACCCAAAAAACTCATTAATATCAAAGCTGAATATTTTTGGAAGTAGTTTTTAGTTTGTTTTTAGTTATAGCTATGTTAGGGGGATATCTGTGTGTGCAGGTGACTATTACTGTGCATAATTATTAGGCAACTTAACAAAAAACAAATATATACCCATTTCAATTATTTATTATTACCAGTGAAACCAATATAACATCTCAACATTCACAAATATACATTTCTGACATTCAAAAACAAAACAAAAACAAATCAGTGACCAAGATAGCCACCTTTCTTTGCAAGGACACTCAAAAGCCTGCCATCCATGGATTCTGTCAGTGTTTTGATCTGTTCACCATCAACATTGTGTGCAGCAGCAACCACAGCCTCCCAGACACTGTTCAGAGAGGTGTACTGTTTTTCCTCCTTGTAAATCTCACATTTGATGATGGACCACAGGTTCTCAATGGGGTTCAGATCAGGTGAACAAGGAGGCCATGTCATTAGATTTTCTTCTTTTATACCCTTTGTTGCCAGCCACGCTGTGGAGTACTTGGACGCGTGTGATGGAGCATTGTCCTGCATGAAAATCATGTTTTTTTTGAAGGATGCAGACTTCTTCCTGTACCACTGTTTGAAGAAGGTGTCTTCCAGGAACTGGCAGTAGGACTGGGAGTTGAGCTTGACTCCATCCTCAACCCGAAAAGGCCCCACAAGCTCATCTTTGATGATACCAGCCCAAACCAGTACTCCACCTCCACCTTGTTGGCGTCTGAGTCGGACTGGAGCTCTCTGCCCTTTACCAATCCAGCCACGGGCCCATCCATCTGGCCCATCAAGACTCACTCTCATTTCATCAGTCCATAAAACCTTAGAAAATCAGTCTTGAGATATTTCTTGGCCCAGTCTTGACGTTTCAGCTTGTGTGTCTTGTTCAGTGGTGGTCGTCTTTCAGCCTTTCTTACCTTGGCCATGTCTCTGAGTATTGCACACCTTGTGCTTTTGGGCACTCCAGTGATGTTGCAGCTCTGAAATATGGCCAAACTGGTGGCAAGTGGCATCGTGGCAGCTGCACGCTTGACTTTTCTCAGTTCATGGGCAGTTATTTTGCGCCTTGGTTTTTCCACACGCTTCTTGCGACCCTGTTGACTATTTTGAATGAAACGCTTGATTGTTCGATGATCACGCTTCAGAAGCTTTGCAATTTTAAGAGTGCTGCATCCCTCTGCAAGATATCTCACTATTTTTGACTTTTCTGAGCCTGTCAAGTCCTTCTTTTGACCCATTTTGCCAAAGGAAAGGAAGTTGCCTAATAATTATGCACACCTGATATAGGGTGTTGATGTCATTAGACCACACCCCTTCTCATTACAGAGATGCACATCACCTAATATGCTTAATTGGTAGTAGGCTTTCGAGCCTATACAGCTTGGAGTAAGACAACATGCATAAAGAGGATGATGTGGTCAAAATACTCATTTGCCTAATAATTCTGCACTCCCTGTAGATGGATTCCTCCCAGTGTCCCCATGTCTCCCAGTGCCCCCATGTGTCGATTACTCCAGGTCTCAGTGTTCCTATGTATCAGTGTCTCAGTGCCCCATGACTCCCAGTGTCCCCTAGTGTCGTGTCCCCAGGTCTCCCAGTGATCCTATGTATCACAGTGTCTCAATGCCCCATGTCTCCCTGTGTACCCATGTATCCCAGGGCCCCCATGTCACTAGGAAGACGGGAAGACCTGGGGACACGGGGAGACCCAGGGACACGGAGACACCAGCGACATTGGGAGACTAGGGGACTCTGGCTGGGATGCATGGGGACACTGGGAAAATAGGGGACACTTGAAGACATGGGGACACAGACACCATGGACACAGACACTAGAGACACTTACTGGGGGACATGGGGACATTGAGACATGGGGGCACTGGGAGACATGGGGACAAGGAGACACCAGGACCACAGACACTAGGGACGCTAGCTTGGAGACATGGGGACATTGTGACACGTGAGGCACTGGGAGACATGGAGGCACTAGGAGACATGGGGACGGTGAGACACTGGCAGACTGGGGGCACTGGGAGACTAGGGGGCACTGAGACACCAGGGACACTGGCTGGGAGACATGGGGACACTGGGAGACTGTGTCTGTACATAATGTCTCCCAGTGTCCCTTAGTGTCTCAGTGTCCCCATGTCTCCTTGCAGCCTTTCCCCCATCCCTTACTTCCCTGAGCTGTAGGCTGTCTCTGCAGGGTGGGAGTTGCTGTCTGGACTCTCTGTAGCTGCACCCCTGTAGATCAGTGAGTATAGATAGGCAGGGAGGGATATGCTGTAACTTCCTATCCCTGCCTGTCTCCACATACAGTGACCCCTACTGGCCAGTGCTGGTATTGCATAGTAATCTCTTGTTTATACTGAGAAAAATACCTGCATTTGTATTGCCAGTATCACTGTAATATTGGCACCAGCCAGGCAGCCTCAAATACTGGTTGTGCCAATAAAATAAAAGCCAGGTGGAATCCCTAAGAGTAGTGTGTGAGGAAAAAAAAATGTAAAAAAAAAATTTTTTTTTTTTTTTAAATCAATGGGCCTATTCCATGGGCCTGGGCCTGGAGCTGCAGCTCCATCAGCCCCTGAATAACACATAAGCTTAATACGCAACGTGTACTAAAAGTTGTACCCTGCTATAACCTGCAATCATTGTTGTACCTTTTCCATGTAAAACATTGTACTTGCTGGTACTAAATGTGTACGATGTTTAGCACATGTGATACTTACTAACAAGTAACTTGCTTTTCTGTAACCGCTATGCTTATTAAAAAAAATAAAATAAAAAAAAATTACCCCAGCTGACAGAGGGGAGACCCAGGTTTCTAATGATACCTGGGTTTCCTGGTGTGAGCAGGGATTTAACCCTACTTACACCACAATCTAGATATAGGCATTTAAATGCCTATTTAAGCAGATACATTCCAGCACTGCATGTAGCTCATCAAAAAGGCTGGGGTCACTAAAAATGCCCCCAGCTGATAGAGGGGAGCCCCAGGTTTCAATTGATACCTGGAACTCCCTTGTGTGCACAGGGTTTTAACCCTGATCACACCAAATTGTAATAGTGGGGATTTAAATCCCCATTTAAATGCTTGTTTGCAGCGCTCAGGGCATCAGTCAGTCTGGGACCACTAATTCTGGCCCCAGGTGAGAG